CGGGAGCCACACCCATAACTCTCCAAATCATGATGCATCTAATTCCAAGTCCACTATCAGCAGCAGCAACAGGATTCTCAGCATGCTGTCAACATCGGTCACACTGGCTCCTCCAATCTCATCGTAGTATAGCTGAGCTACAATCTTGAATCTAACTAATAAGAGAAGGAGAACGACAGCTTGCAGCTGCTACTCCTTTTAATATCGGCTTACTTTGCTGAGAACGTTCAGACACCTCGATGCTCACAGCCTCCCCACATACCCACTGACTACTGAGAGATTTTCATAAGGACCTCGGCTTGTCCGCAATAGTGATCATTCACTGTTAAGTAGCGATAGATCAAGATACCCTCTCGATACCCTTAGTATGGTGGTGTCCACCACTACTATCAACGCAACTCGAAAATATGCACTCATACACTATCAAGACGTCATGCAGTGCCGCTACCTGGGCTGTATGAAAATGCGGTTCACCGAACATGTCGAAGCTTCATTTTACGTAAGTCTACGTACTCGGACTGAAAGTAGTCTCAGCGTTAATCGCTTCAATGGTAGTAGCCGGGGCCTCGGTGATGACCTCGGCCGTGGTGGCGACAGCGGTAGCCGGGGCCTCGGTGATGACCTCGGCCGTGGTGGCGACAGCGGTAGCCGGGGCCTCGGTGATGACCTCGGCCGTGGTGGCGACAGCGGTAGCCGGGGCCTCGGTGATGACCTCGGCCGTGGTGGCGACAGCGGTAGCCGGGGCCTCGGTGATGACCTCGGCCGTGGTGGCGACAGCGGTAGCCGGGGCCTCGGTGATGACCTCGGCCGTGGTGGCGACAGCGGTAGCCGGGGCCTCGGTGATGACCTCGGCCGTGGTGGCGACAGCGGTAGCCGTAACTGGAGAATCCGTGGTCGCTGAGGCATCGGTGGCCTCCTCAGCAGTAGTGGAAACAGGGATCTCATCAGTGGCGGTAGCTGCAGTAGTGGTGGCTACTTCATCGGTTACAATGGCGGTACTGGTTATTTCGGTGGTGTCAACAGCAATAGAAGCGGCCGTACTAGTTTCCTCGATGACGTCTGTAGTGCTTTCTTGAACCACAGGAGTCTCTGTGACCTCATCGGTGGTTTCACCAGAAGTAGTGGTAACTGGATCAACCTCGCATGTGCATGGCGCATTGGATGAATGACAGAGGCTGGGTTTAGCCCAGTACTTGCAATAGGAGCCGGGGGT